CGCCATTGCACTCCAGCCTGGGTTCAGGCAATTCTCCTGCCTCAGCCTCCTGAGTAGCTGGGATTACAGGCACGCGCCACCATGCCCAGCTAATTTTTTGTATTTTTAGTAGAGACGGGGTTTCACCATATTGACCAGGATGGTCTCGATCTCTTGACCTCGTGATCCACCCGCCTCGGCCTCCCAAAGTGCTGGGATTACAGGCTTAAGCCACTGCGCCCGGCCTCAAAATTTTTTAGTGATGGGGTAAGCAACCAAAAAGTTTGAAGACCACTGGTCTATACTGCTCCCTTGTCACTGAACTTTCATTTTTATCAGCACCCTCCCCAGAGTTAAGCTATGGAGGTAAGTCCTGATGCTGAAAAAGAAACAGAAAAACTGTTTCAAACTATTTTAAACTCCCAACAACAACAAGCTAAAGATGAGAAATCACTAGCAAGAAATATATGGAATTGAATACTACTATGCTGTTGATGGGAATTTCAAATAGACATTCTATCTAAAGGGCATCTTGAGTATATTCCAATTTAAAACACATATACCCTCTGACCCAATAAGCCCACTTTTTTTTTTTCTTTTGAGACGTCTCACTCTGTTACCCAGGCTGGAGTGCAGTGGCTTTATCTCAGCTCACTGCAAACTCCATCTCCCAGGCTCAAGTGATTCTCCATACTTCAGTCTTCCAAGTAGCTGGAATTACAGACCCCCACCACCACATCCAACTAATTTTTATATTTTTAGTAGAGATGGGGTTTTGTCATGTTAGCCAGGCTGGTCTTGAACTCCTGACCTCAGGTGATCTGCCCACCTTGGCCTCCCAAAGTACTGGAATTACAGGCATGAGCCACCATGCCCAGCTAATAAACCTACTTTTAAGAATTTATCCTGGGCCAGGTGCGGTGGCTCATGCCTGTAATCCCAGCACTTTGGGAGGCCGAGGCGGGTGGATCACAACGTCAGGAGATTGAGACCATCCTGGCCAACATGATAAAACCCTGTCTCTACTAAAAAATACAAAAAATTAGCCAGGCGTGGTGGCTCATGCCTGTAGTCCCAGGTACTTAGGAGGCTGAGGCGGAAGAATCACTTGAACCCGGGGGGCAGAGGCTGCAGGGAGCCAAGATCATGCCACTGCACTCCAGCCTGGGCAACAGAGCAAAACTCTGTTTCAAAAAAAAAACAAAAAAAAGTTATGTAGCTTTCATAATCAGATATAATTTCATTTTGGAATTTAAAATGAGATTAAGTTAAAATTCCAAATTATTGTCCTATATCACTTCTAAAACTCGTTATAAACACTCTGTCTTCCCGTGTCATTTGTAGAATCAATCTAAATACTTAATATTTGGTTTATCTCATGTAAAAATGATAGGCATCGAACAAATAACAACCCTATTTCAAGTTAACCATCTTGTCTTTATACCAATTCTTTCCAGTTACATCATGATTTATCAATATACTTACAATTTCCTTATGCTTTTCCAGACTATAAATCTATGAATAATTCTGAAAACAAAGTAAGTTTCTATTCCTCTTCTGCAACTAAGTTACAAAAGTATTAACTACTAAAGAAATTAGATTTAGACCCCAGATAGGTGAAATTAGAAAAGCTTGCTACAATCTGTCATAACAGAATCATTCTGAATATCTGAGTTATTAGCATCAAAACAATATCTCTGTGGTTACCAAGTACTCCATACTCAACCTTAAGGGAAAATGATACTTAAGAACATTATTATAGCATAAGTTTATGTGCTTTGTTCATTAAATCAACAATTTAGAACAAAGCTATGGGGTATTTCACCGCTAACAGAATAACTTTAAGGAAACCCACCTTCGCAATTTTCTTTTTTTTTCATTTGTTTCATACCTATTTTATAGACAGTCATTCTACCCACACTGCACAAGTACTATATACCTAAACAACTACAACAAAGTTTAATCACAACCCAAAAGAAAAAATAACCTTTTAGGTCAGGTACAGTGGCTCATGTCTATAATCCCAGCACTTTGGGAGGCCAAGGCAGGAGGACTACATGAGCCCAGGAGTTCAAGACCAGCGTGGGCAATGTAGCAAAAACCTGTCTCTACAAAAAATGAAAATAATAATTTTTAAAAAGAAAAAATACATTTTACACTGCAACCAAGTATACACACATAAACATATCTTTTAAAAGGAAACAAAAGTTTCCCAAATCAATATTTACTTTTACTTTATGCAATGCACCAATATATTCTGTTTTTCAAAATACTTTTTTAAGTAAGAACATTGATTTCATTACCCTACGACACTGCCACCTGTTACTCAAAAACACAGCCTTAAAACTTTGCACAGAACATGCTGAACTCCTTTTTCCTACCACCTTCCACCACTGCTCCAACATAAGAAAGTGGGTGAAATCTATCAAGTCTATTCCAAGTACAGATATTGGCATAAATGTGAGACATCCCAGGTTCCTCTGAAGCTCCTGAAACATTGTGACTATACCTACTGGCAAAGAGCATACATGTGCTGAAAGGTTTCTCCAGGCAGAGGACAGAGGCAGAATTTCTGTTGCCTTATCAGTGACACTGGTAAATTCTGCACTTGAAAACATGTACCAGGTTTACCACTGCTTCACAAGTCAATTCTTCCAAGAAATAAAATAGGATTCTAATACCAACCCCTTACATTTTTAGAATACTTTTCATATACACTATTCCATTTGATCCTGCCTGGCACAGTGTTTGAAAAGTAGAGAAGTTGCTCTTCTTCCTTTCACTAATGAGGAAATTGGAGCTCAGAGGGGTTATGTGGCTTGCCAAAAACAACATGGCTAATGAAGAATACAACCCAGGCTTGAACCCAAGATTTACTGTTCTATCCACTTTCATGCTACAATTTTCACTTTTAATATCTGACACAAATGTAAACTTAAAAGGTATATTGTTTCTAGATACAAAAGTAAAGATGAAAGCATGATGTATTGATGATATCATAAAATTAAGATTAAAAATAGCTATGATGCCGCGGGCAATGGGTCATGCCTGTAATCCCAGCACTCTGAGAGTCTGAGGCGAGCAGATCATGAAGTGAAGAGCTCGAGACCATCCTGGCTAACATAGCAAAACCCCGTCTCTACTAAAAATACAAAAAATTAGCTAGGCATGGTGGTGCACACCTGTAGTCCCAGCTACTTGAGCGGCTGAGGCAAGAGAATCGCTTGAACCTGGGAGGTGGAGGTTGTAGTGAGCTGAGATTGTGCCATTGCACTCCAGCCTGGTAACTGAACGAGACTCTGACTCAAAAAAAAAAAAAAAAAAAAA